ACATATGTAACATAAACAAAAGTTACACACCTTAAATAATATTCTCCAACAGAAATGGGAATAAGAGAATGAATACAAGGGGGTGAGGAAGGACTGGATGCAGGTAACAGTAGGGGTTATGAAGGAGGAGATAAAGATAATTGTTTTTCTGGTTCTAACACTGTCATAGACTTTTTGTTTTGTTTTTAGTGGAAAGTAAAAACATAAAATGTATTTGATTTCAAATGTGTGGAATTTAAGGTGAAGTTCCACATGTTCTCTTCTGAATGCCTACTCTAACTGTACAGAGGTTCATTGAGGTGTATAGACTTTATATCTGGTTAGTTTTGGTATGTGATGTTTTTACTTATTTGTAAGGCTTTTTATAATAAGGTTTATAAACATAATAAAAAAGAAAGGTTGGTGACATAATGGGCCAATTACATCTTAAGTGTACGAACATCCATTAGTGATTTCATACAGGTTGCTCTATTAGGGCTGGGATCTTGTTGGAGGAGGCAGGTAACTAGGGGTTGCCTTTGAGAACTCTATCATTCAACTGCTCATCCTTTCTCTCTGTATCTCTTGGTTTGTGTCTTTCTCCATGTGTCATTGCCTCTCTGCCTCTCTCTCCCTCTATCTCTGTCTTTCTGTCTCTCTGTCACTGTCGCTGCTGCCGCCTCTCTCTCTCTCTCTCTCTCTCTCTCTCTCTCTCTCTCTCTCTCTCTCTCTCTCTCTCTGTGTGTGTGTGTGTGTGTATGTGTGTGTGTGTTTTAAGAGCTTTCTTTTTTCACTTTTAAATTGATTCATGTTTCTATACATTTAAGAAAAATGTATTTGTGTATTACATCAAAACAAATGAATTGTTCTTTAAGTAAATATATTTCAAGGAAACCTTAAATTTTCTAAACATTAATTATAGCATTTGCAAAATCAAACTAAATCGAACTCATTATCTTCCAAATTTTAGCTTCTATAAAAACAATATGTAGATTCACGAATTTATTTTCAATTCTATTTGGATAATAAGCTGTTTAGCTCAGTAATTGTGTGTTACATGAAATGATCTGCCCTTATTTTTAAACTCTTTTGCTTTTGTGCAATTTAATTAACACCAGAGTCTCCAAGAAAATGTGATATATAGACACAATACTTATGCTGATTGTAAATCAAGTAGTTGGTCATCTACATGACATTAGCTATGTAAAATAGATAAAGGGTTGTTGTTGCTGGAGTTTCTTGTTCTGGCAAGCCGCACAGATGCCCTTCAGTTCCAAATAAACACATGGACGCTAGATCACTTATAAAACTCTTGACTGATGGCTAGAGCTTCTTCCTGGCTAGCTCTCTCTTAGTTATTAACCCATAACTACTAATCTATGTATTTTCACATGGTCTTGGCTTGCTAGAGAATGTCCGGCCCTGTTTCTTCTTTGGTGGCTACATAGCATCTCTCTGCAATCTCTCTCTGCCTACTTTTCCCAGAATCCTTCTCCTAGCCCCACCTATCTTCCTGCCTCTATTGGCCAAACAGTATTTATTCATCAACAAATAAAAGAAACATATATACAGAAGGACATCCCCCATCAGGTTGCTGATAATTTTATTATTTCTTCCTTATTTCTTCCTGAGCATGATGTTTTCTACTTTAAATCATATTCATACCATAGAGTTAGTCTTAAATTAATCACACTATTAAAGTAGGGTGGAGGCAGGGGGGTTAGTTCTATTTGTTAAATAGTTGCCTAGCATTCGCAAGCCTTAGGTTTCCTACAAGTTAAACCAGGGAGGATCACAGGGTACCCATGTAATTCAAGCACTTGGGAGTGAAGAATGAGAGGGGTCATCAGACATTCCCTTTCATCCTCTGCTATTCTGTCAGTTTGTTAGGTAGAAAAGCAAACTGATGCAGAGAGTGGATATCCTGATGGCAGAGACAGAGGTTTTTTGACTCTTTCTCATAGGCAGTCTAAGTTAAATCCTATCCCGTAATGAATGTGATTGACACTTTAGTCAGTTCTGTTTCACAAAAAATGGACAAAACAGATCATGTATCACTCCTACTTCTTTACAGTGTAAGTGCATATGGATATGTGTGGAGATCCTAGCTGCCATTGAATTTTGGATTTCTAATCTTGCCAGATACAAAATAAAGTGTACACTGCTTGCTTTTGGAATGATTGCCGTAAAACTAATGGCTTTACAAACATGTTCACATTAGAGTACCACATAATTTTTAAAACTGACCAAGGAATGAAGGAGATTTGTCATGGAAGGCTTTGTACACTTGGGAAAACATGGAGTGCTTCAGCCCCGGAGGATTTGCTTTGCCTTTCGTCATGCCCTTTCCGTGTGGAGACTGTGTGAGAGTGTTGTGTACACCAAATAGTGAATAGTAATAGAAACCAAATTGCCTGTCTTATTGTCTAATGTTAATTAAAACCAAATGTCCTTCCTACAAGGCAGCTAATGTACTTTAATTATTTGGATTTGTGCTGAAAAGACAAGAAGGAACACGTAATTATTAAGGGGGAAGAGTACACATTATCTCAACAACTGCTCCCAATGTGAAATGGTATCATTTTTCCCTCTATATAACTTGAATACTTGTCAAGTAATCTACTTCATCTACTTAAACAACACATTAGTTTTTTTTCTCAGTCTTATAAATTTAAAATTGTCTTTTGTATTGAGTTTAACCTTTCCAATTAAAATCAGTTCAAAGCTATACTATGTTTTTACTGTTTTGATGTGGAATAAAATTTAAAAATACTAAGCACTACTTTACTGAGTGAAGAGATTTAGAGACTATAAAATTAAGATCTGATGAGAGCATTTTCTATTTAAAGTTGAGAAAAATTATCTTAAAGATTATTAAAATTGGATAAAAATATCTATATGGATTAGGGATCAGGTAAAGATTTGACAAGACAAAGCCTGTAAAAGCCAGCTAGATCTCATGTGACCTTTGCCATAATTACCCAGATTTAGGAAACAAATAAAACCTGAGGCTATTGGTTCACATACTTAAATATTTAAATTGTTTTTCAGGCTCTTCTTTATATGAGTTCACTTTCTTTGGATGTTAAATAAATAATTCATTCTCCCAGAGAATCTTTGCTTGCCTTCTAAACAGAGAGAGTAGAGAACTGTCTGAAGAACTCAAATCTTTTGCCCAAGTATATTAGTTCTTCACAGCCATGGAAACCACCTGGGAATTCAAGTTAGATGAGAGTATGTTTTTTCAGTCTTCAAAACTTGCATCTGCATATAGTCAGTTAGTTCCCTGCATTGGATTACATTTGCTCTGGTGTGCATATGTTTAATAGCATGCCTGCATTTGTGACTGACATGACTTCATGTATTTGTGCTAAGGCAGTGAATTCACCCAGCAACGTGGAAAAGAAAGAGACATTGGGACACCGAGATCAGTTGGATGCTAACTTCAGATGCTACTCAATGTGCTGCTAAGAACCAGGAACTCTTAAGGATTTATGAGATGTGACAGCCTTTGGAGAAAAGAAGAGCATTACCATTATGCTTTAGAATCCATTCAAGGATCAGGTGGAAAGTTGACAGACTGAGACTGACAAGATGGATCAGCAGAAACTGATCTTCTAGAGGACTGAGTTTGGCTCTCAGAACCCACATCAGGCCACTTACAGTTGCCTTTAATGCCAACTTAGGTGCTCCAGTGACAATAGACTATTTAAAAATGAAAATTATAATTGAAAAATGCAGGTTAACAATCTAGTGAAATAAATCAATCTTGCAGTCATATTACGTATGTTTTCAAGATTAACCAGATATATTTCAGATGGATAGGTAATCTTCAATATTTCAGAGACCTATAGAATTTGGCATTTAAAATGTTTGATGACATAAAGCTTTTCATGACAGCTAGGCACATCTGCTCCTGGTAGCACCAATCTACTTCATAAAACGATGATGGGCATCTAAAAAACCGCCATAGGGAGTATGATTTCATTGCAGCAAAACTAGCCATTTTGGAAAGAAACTGTCCTTACTTCAACTGCTGCCAGTATACCATCCAAAGTGGGCATACAGGACACAAAGAAAAGTGATTGATGAATTTTGCCAAGACAAGGTGAGTCAGTCCTTCAAAACTCCTGCATCATAGAAAAGTCTGCCAGATATTCCAGGCCTATAGGCTGAAGATAGATGCCCAATATTGCAGAGAAAACTTGGGTGTCTGTCCAGGCAGCCATATGTCTCTGTCATTTCTATAGTTTTGGAAGTGGCTTGCACTGCACTTCCTGTTTACTCGGGTAATATTTTATCCTTCTGTGGTGTTGATGGAGTTGAAGACTAGGCAGTTATAGCCAGTTTTCCTTTGTTATGATAGGAGTGAGTTCAGCACAAAACTTTGGGCTTGCCAGGGTAGGATAAATAATGGAGTATTTTCACTGAATTAACCAAATGCAAATGGACTGGATATTGTAAACATAATTCTTACTTGTTAATTTTTATTATTGTATATGGATTTACTATGTTAAAGTTAAAGCATTTCCTTCTTATTTAGACAAAAAGGGGGATGTTGTGGAGTAGAATATTCTTAACTGTGTAGAGATTGTTGCGTTTGTTTATGCTACATTTGTTTAACTATGAAACACCTGCTGCTCTTTCATCTTGACTTCCTAAGACAGCAGATTTGTTTAGTAAAGAGCAGAGTGGCTAATAGCTAGACAGAAGAGGGATATGAAAGGCTGAGTGGCAGAGAGAAAAGGGGACCAACCAGCCAGTGGGGACCAGCTAGCCAGGAATGGAGGAAGCAGGAAAGCATGATAGACAACAGGAATATGAAGTAAATGAGCCTCTGGGTAGCATACCGACTAATATAATGTAGATTAATAGAAATGGGTTAATTTAAGTTTAAAATAAGCTAGCTAGAAACAAGCGTAAGCTAAGGTTGAGTTCTCGTAATTAATAATACCTCTCCATATCTTTATTTGGGAGTTGGTTGTTGGCCCAAAGAAAATCACAACTACAACAGTCAGATAGTTTTACAAACGAGAAAAAACATTTATTCAGTATTCTCATAAGAAATCTGTTAGAAGGTTGAGTTTACTTTGGCTTATAAGGTTGTCTACATAACAGGTTTCAAATTCGTTTTTCCAGCTTTCACAAGGTGGAAAATATCAGGACTTTAACGTTCGGTTTTCTAGCTTTTTAAATTGGAAGCTATATGCAGGAATCATGAATTCCAACTCAGCTGCTGGTGATGAAGAATTTTTGCTGTCCTGTTGGAGTCATGGTGCTTGCCTGTTCTCCCTGCTCTGCTTCTGTGAAAGCCACCGTTGTCTCTGGATGCCTGAGAGATACATAACATGGCTTGAGCAGCCTCTTCCTCAGAAACACTCTACTGAATCTATGTCCACAAAACACCCAGAATAGTTTAAAACCTCTAAACTCTATAAGATTTTTGGTAATGTTTGTTGCCTCTGGCAATGGCAGTAAGTATGCTTTTACCTCATGTCTATTTTCTTGAATAATTTCTCCAGTTAACAAGTGAGAATAAATGTGAATAAGAGAAATTCAAGTAAAGAAGCCATTTATTATGACTAATAAAACCTTCACTGTAATTTTTGTACAGGAATTTTAAACCATTACCTTGAAACCATGGTGGAGAAAACCACTTTCATTTGTAATTGATACACTATGTTGTGCTTATTTATTACATCATGGGTGTGTAATGAATTGTACCTATGTATGTTTGTAGTTTACTTCATAACTCAATGATAATTGAAATCATATCTTAATAATATGGTAAAAGTTTTGGCTTAAAATAATTTCTACTTGAAGTTTTGCATAAGTTAGTTAAGTAATTGACTTAGTAAAGCTTAGCTCATTGAATACCTATTTACCTAGGAACATGGGCATCTTCAATCGTTAGAAAGGACAGGTTTTACTTTAACTCCTGAGAATAACGTAGCTAGCATGTTTAGAAAACTATAACTTTAACACTAAAGGGTTTTATGATAACTTTTAAACTATGGGGTGAAATTAAGGTCTAGGCAGAAATGAAAAGAGACTCCTGATCATGATATTCCTGGGGATCTAATTCAATTGCTGGCACCAGAAAAGAGCAAAGGAGACAAGTGTTCCACACCATCGAGATGTGCTGTGTAAGCCATGAGCTCAAGCAAACATGGGTGAACTAAAAGTAAATGTTACTGGATTTTGCAACTTTCAAATTCTAATTCGGTATGTTTGCACCCACTGATTGCAGAGCCATGGAGCCAGGCACACACACACACACACTTAAGAGCAATTATTTGCTCACTAAAATAATTTCATAAAGTAAACCAAGTCTTCAACTATTAAATTAAAAAATAATAACACAAGGCCAAGTCTAAATATTCATGTAGAGTATATAGAATTAAGATTATCTTGTGGTTATTTTATGCTGTTTGAGTCAGAATTCCAGGAGCACACCACCAGTTGTCTGTAATGATTGTCAAACATATTCATGCACAAAAAAATGCTTACCATGAAGACAAGAGTACATTACATCCAAGTCAAAAAAATTCTACATCAATAGGAAATAAGTTTAATTTTCACCATGGTTTAGTGTCTGGTAAAGACTGTTGTACAATGTATAATTTAACAGAAGTACCTTCTTTGTTTCTTGAGCTTACTTGAGTTTCTCTTTTCACACCTCTTCAACAAAACATAAAAGGACAAACAAAATCATCGGGCACGTACAGCCACCATTGCAAGGACTTAGCCCAAGAGAAGTGAATTGCATACAAATGAAGGGTAACACCGAGATAAACCTGAACTTACATTTTATATGGTGTAGCCAATAAATCCATTTGACTCAGGCTTTTCGTTTAACTGCTTGTGTTCGCAAAAGAAGGACAGGATGGAGTCTATGAGGAAACAGATGTAGCTTGCCTACTTTCCTATTAATACCTCAGGTAGTTATTTTATAATTCATTTTGTGCTTTTTATGTCTTATTGACAAAAGCAACTATATTGAATAATAAACGCAAAGAATATTTGTAACTTGGTCTGAAGGTGTAAATACGTCCACAAAGAGTATATCATTTCTAAAATGGGACCAAAACATATTTCTAAAAAAGATCAAAAGGGAAGAAATAGGGATTTCTGACATTTCACAAACTTACTTTAAGATGTAGTCTGGCCGTCAGGAATTTTAAACCATTCCTCTAATTGTCAGATGAAGCAAGGCTCAGTGAGGCAGTATTCTTCATTAAGAAATTTTTAACTCGGTAATGATCTGGGCCAAGTGGAATGAAGAAAATCAATTTAAAAGAACGCAGCATCTTTTAAAAAGAATAATCGCTTGTTCTTCATACCAAATGAATAATTCAAATGACCATTAGCCACAATTATCATACGTGGCCAAAGGAAAATGGAAAATTGTATAATTTCATGGATGCTAATTGCATTTTTATTAAGGGAGAGAAATTCATGTGCTTGGTGAATTGGGCTGCACTATTAACACAAAATAACTATTTGATTCCTTTGAAATAATCAGACTTTCAAACTTTTAATTACATATGGATCTGTGATTTTCTAACATATCATTTAGTTATAGAAAAATATATGAATATATACAATATCCAGCTTCACTGAGTCACCTCAAAAATAGTTTAATGGAAACCTTGAACCTATGACTGCACCCATTCTACCTAGCTTGTGTTATATGATTTATCCTCATGTTGAGATTTAATACCAATTTTTAGTTCTTCCTTTGCTTTCCCAAATGGCTAGAGCAACATTCACCATGATACCCAACATATATTACCACATTCCTTACTTTGTTGTTTCATTTTGTATATCTGGAGTGTACAGAATGAGCCTTGAGAGTCATGCATATAGTGAGACAGCAAGGATAGCCCCCTAACATAGCCCATGCAAAACTTTTTATGAACAAACATCTCTGCTACTACAACTTATTAGACTTCATATTTGCCTAAGTATTTATGGCCATTATTGCCAAAATTTATTACATAAGTGTTCATTACATACTTTTTTGAAATCATAAAAGTGATGCTTTTATTGAGAAATTGCAAATTTTTCAAAATGATGAATCATAAGATTGAAGGCAGGAAGCTAAAGAAATACTAGGTGGGGTACAATTTTGTGTATTAATGTAAAAGACCTTTCATTTATTTAAATGTGTGCACTTTTTCCTGGAAAGAAATTTACAAAGACAATGCTCAACTTAAATACATTTGGACAAGAATTATTTGTAGATACTAAAACTAGTGAATAAATTTTTGAAGAATAAGATCATTGCATAGTTTTCAGACATCTCCATATTATACTTATTAGTTACAATGTAGAAAATAGTTAACAACAGTGGGAAAACCATACAGATTCTACCTCAAGCAGTTAATCAGAATTAGTAACATAGGAATTGAACAAAACACCATCATGAGTCACTGATGAAAAGGGTACTTTATCATCACTTATGTGGCATTCCAGCTTAAAAGCATAAATCAAGTTGTAAGTAAACAGCAGATAAACTCAAAGTGGAAAAGCATTCAACAAGAGGATGTAGGCAGAAGAACTACAAAAATTCTAAGTAAAGTTATAAAAGACAAAGGTATAATGATTAAATGAGATTAAACAAAGCCAGGTGGCTAGGCGGTAAAGATGCATGCCACCAAAGCAAATTATGTGAATGTAGTTCCCAGAATCCACATGGTAGAGGTAGAAAATAGACTCCAATAAGTTATCCTTTGACATGCATATGTGTACCCTGGAACCCATGTGCCCACATATTACACAAGTTAAATTCAACAAAATGAAAGGGAATAAACATGAATTATGTGTTTAATGGTTAATTCCTGACTTTTCACCATAAAGACATTATTGACACAACTGAAAAATCTTAATAATGTCTGAATGTTGTATAATAGTGTTATATCCACCTCTAATCCTAGTACTCAGAAGGCAGAGGCAGATGGATCATTGCATACTTTTTGAGTGAGGATATGCAATCTCTGTTTTTGTGGACTGTTCTTCATTAAGTCCACTTCAGTGTAAGTGCATTCCTAATGTCAGAACTGTACCACTGCTAACATACCTTCAGAACAAATGTGGCAGTATGTGCACAGTAATGACGCAAGGGGCAGCCCATGGAAACCAGCTTCTAAACTTTATTGCCGTTGATTATTACTGAAAGCGATCATCAAGTGGGAACTGTGAAGGAATGAGGGTACACAGATTTTCCTAAGACAAAATTGCTTATTCAGTTATTTGTAAAGACAGAATTCCTGCAAATGGTAAGAGAGCATGTTAAAGTTCTTATTTATTTTAATGGACTAGAATGAAAAGTAGCTCTTTACTCACATTTACACTATTGGAAGAAAACCCAAGGTTTTATTTATTTGATCAGCAGCTTGGAGCATTAAAACCCAGTCTCTGCATACATGGGTCGTGTACGCCAACTATTTTTAGATCTGTATTGCAGAGCTTCCAAACTATGGGTACAGCCATGTTTTGTGTACACACTGGAAATCTGCGTAGGAGCACACTTATTTCTCTTTCCCTTTAGAGCTTTTGAATATAGCCTAAGGACTGTTGAGTTAGGCAAGGAAGAGAAATTGGGTAGAGTGGTAGAAGGAAGAATCTAATTTCTTATTCAGACAAGCACACCAATCTGCCTGGGGGAGATGACTCCTGTAGTACAAGAGCTTTCCCCACAAGCTTAATAACCTATGTTTCATGCCTGAATCCACCTCAAAGTGAACAGAGATAGCCTACTTCAGAGCTGTCCTCTGATCTCCACCTGCATGCTATAAGCTGTGACACACATGTGGTCACACTCATATATATGCACACACACATTCTCTCACATATAAAATAATAAAATTAATTATAAAATAATAAAAATAATTGAGGCAAAGTATGTTATGCAAAACTATTACTGAAAGAGCTTATGGAATATACAACTGGAGTGAGATGTTTGCAAAGATAGGTATGCAATAACATAACTCATACATTTTCTACTTGATAATGTCACTCTAGATATGTAAGGGACTGTAAGTCAACTGAATGGCAATGTACCACCACTTACTTCTGTTATAAAGTATAAATCCTCAGAAAACTGTTAATCATGTTAGGAGCATACTAATGCTTGGGAAATAATTAATGTGGCTCCTATAGAGTTGCCTGCAAGTCATCATCCTGCGGATGCAGTAGAGAACAGGCCTAATTTTTTAAGAGAAAGGTACAAGCATATATAATGATCTCTGCTTTCCCTGTAAGTAAACAAAATGCAGCCTGAGGCAATGCTGAACAGATTTTGTAATTATAGTAAAGCCTGTTTGGTGATGTTGTCAATGGGTTAGAGAAGCAGACTCAATCAAGTTTCTGAGTTCATCCATGTTCTTTTGGATGTTTCTCTGTAACACCTCAGGTAGTGAACCTAATAACATTTAAATAAATAAATAATGACACTCCAGAATTCATTATGTTCTGACATACCTTTGTTTGTTTGTTTGTAAAGCAATCTGGGTGTCTATATCTTGGGAATTTAGAAACCAGTTTTTGCCAATTTTATTTAGAAATAAGACAACAAAGGGCAGGTTAATATTTCAGGTTTCATCCAGGTTCCAGCCAACAATGAAATTTCATATAAATGGAAAAGGATATGCCATGTACTAAGACTATTATTTCTGTGGTATTAATAATATATTAGCAAATAAAGGTGAAAATAAGCACACTAGTGTTTAAGACTGATCATTTCATATACTTTTTATATTGAAATAATATATTTATTTTACATCCACAGTGTAGCCTCCCTTCCATTCTCCCTTCCCTGCACTCCCACAATCCACTCCTCTTCTGTATCCTGTCAGAGGGGGACAAGATTCCCATGGGAACCAACAAAGCATGGCACCTTTCTCCTGTATTCAGGTTAGACAATGCAATTTAGCATGAGGAATAGGTTCCCAAGAGTAAGCCAAAGCACCAGGGAGAGTCCATGCTCCCATTGCCAGGAGACCCACAAATAGAAAAAGCTACACAACTGTTACATATATGCAGAAGGCCTAGGTTGGTCCCATACAGGCTCCCTGGTTGTTAGTTCAGACTCAGTTTCCATGAGACAAGCTAGCCATTCCTGTGATGTCCCTGACCCCCTGGTTCCTATAATCCATCCTCTCTCTCCTCAGCAGGACTCCCCAAGTTCAGCACAATGGGTCTTTGAAGATCTTTCCCTGTTTTTGTTTTGTCTCATTAACAGTGTCCTTATCTTACAGTAACTTTTCAGTTTTATGAGGTCCCACTTATCAGTTGTCTATCTTAATGTCTGTACTACTGGTGTTTTGTTCAGGAAGTTGTCTCCTGTGCCAATGTGCTCAAGGCTATTCCTCATTTTCCCTTCTATCAGTTTCAGTGTAACTGGATTTATGATGATGTCTTTGATCCACTTGAACGTAGACCATGATCAGTTGATTTTTGACAAATCAGACAAAACTATACAATGGAAAAAAGGAAGCATCTTCAACAAATGGTGCTGGCATAAATGGATGTTGGCATGCAGAAGATTGCAGATAGATCCATGTCTATCACCTCTCACAAATCTTAACTCCAAATGCATCAAAGACCTCAACATAAATTCAACCACACTGAAACTCTTAGAAGAAAAAGTGAGAGATTCTCTTCAATAAGTTGATACAGGAGACCATTTCCTGAACATAACACCAGTGGCACAGACACTGAGATCGACAATTAACAAATGGGATTTCCTGAAACTAAGAAGCTTCTGTAAAGCAAAGGACACAGTCAACAAGACAAAAAGGCAGTCCAAAGAATGGGAAAAGATATTCACTAACGTCACATATGACGGAAGGCTGATCTCCAAAATTTACAAAGAACTCAAGAAGCAAGTCTCCAAAACACCAAAGGATCCAATTAAAAAGTGGCACACAGGACTAAATAGAGAATTGTCAATAGGGGAGTCTAAAATTCTGAGAGATACTTGAGAAAGTGCTGAACATCCTTAGCCATCAGGGAAATGCAAATCAAAACAACTGTGAGATACCATCTTACTCCTGTCAGAATGGTGAAAATCAAAAACACCAAGACAATTTATGCTGGAGAGGATGTGGAGAGAGGGGAACACTCCTCTACTGCTGGTGGGAAATCAGTATGGAGATTCCTCAGGAAAATGGGAATCAGTCTACCACAAGACCCAGCAATTCCACTCTTAGGCATATACCCAAAAGATGCACATTCATACAACAAGGACATCTGTTCCAC